ATTTCTGGAGAGCAATACAGAGTGAGTTGGGGACCCGTGTAGAGCTCAGCACAGCCTTTCATCTGCAGAACGACGGGCAGTTAGAGCGAAAAGTTCAAATTTTGGAGGATATGCTCAGGGCATGTGTGATTGACTTTGGAGGTTAGTGGGATCGTTTCCTACCTTTGGCCGAGTTTTCTTATAGTAACAGTTACCAATTCAGTATCGAGATGGCTCCATTTGAGGCTTTATATGGCCGTCGATGCCATTCACCTATAGGATGGTTTGAGCCCGGTGAGGCTAAGTTATATGGTACTGATTTGGTAAGGGATGCCTTGAAAAAGGTAAAGTTGATTCAGGAGCGACTTTGTACAGCACAGTCCAGACAGAAGAGTTACGCGGATCAGAAAGCTCGTGATATATCATTTATGGTAGGTGAAAAAGTTCTCTTGAAGGTTTCGCCGATGAAGAAAATTATGAGATTCGGGAAGAAGGGCAAGTTGAGCCCAAGGTTTATAGGCCCATTTGAGGTGTTGAGACGAGTTGGGGAGGTTGCTTATGAGCTTGCATTGCCTCCCAGCCTATCGGGAGTTCATCTGATTTTTCATGTATCTATACTCCGGAAGTATCATGTCGACCTATCACATATGTTAGACTTCAGTACAGTTCAGCTAAATAATAGCTTGGGTTATGAAGAGGAGCCAGTTGCCATTATTGATAAACAGGTTCATCAGTTGAGGTCCAAGAGGATTTCTGCAGTTAAAACCCAGTGGAGGGTCCAACCAGTCGAGGAAGCGACTTGGGAGGCCGAAGAAAATATGCGGAGCAGATATCCACACTTATTCATCACTTCAGGTATAATTCTAAAACCGTTCGAGGACGAACGTTTGTTTAAGAGGTGGAAAATGTGATGACCCAAAATGTCATCTTTAAATTTAATAATTAATTATGTGTTCTAAGACCTCGAAAAGTACTATTTATCATTTCTCGACTTGCGTGCGCAGTCCGTAAAATTTTCTTTAAAGTTTTTATGTGAAAAATAGATTAAAATGTGGATTAGAGCTTTAAAACTCAATTGAGCTGACTTTGGTTAACATTTTGAGCAAACAGACTCGGATCAGTATTTTGACAGTTCCGGTAGGTCCGTATCGTGATTTGGGACTTGGGCGTATGCCCGGAATCAAATTCCGAGGTCCCTAGCCCGAGATATGGAATTTTGATGAAAAATTAAAATGTTTAAGTTCAAATAGTGACTGGATGTCTAATTAAGTGATTTTTGACTTAGGAACGTATTTGGAATTTTATTTGGAAGTCCGTAGTTAAATTAGGTTTGAAATGGCTAAAAACAAGAATTTAAGTTTGGAAGTATGACCGAGGAGTTGACTTTTTGATATCGGGGTCGGAACCCAGTTCTGAAAATTTTTACAGCTCCATTATGTCATTTATAGCTTGTGTGCAAAATTTGAGGTCAATCGGACTTGATTTGATATGTTCCGGCATCGAATGTAGAAGTTGAAAATTCTTAGTTTCATTAAGCTTGAATTGGGGTATGATTCGTGGTTTTAGCATTGTTTGATGTGATTTAGAGGTTCGACTAAGTTCGTATGATGTTTTAGGACTTGTTGGTATATTTGATTGAGGCCCCGAGGGCCTCGGGTGAGTTTCGGATGGTTAACGGATCAAAAATTGGACTTAAACAGCTGCTACAATTTTTTTCTCTTCTGCTGGAAATTCTAGGCTGTGATCGAGCCCAAGATCGAGGCCGAAAAATCGAGCTCCCAAAAATCGAGCTCCCAAGATCGAGCTCCCTGATCAGACTGGACAGATCTGTAAGTTATAAAAACAGAGGCATTCGACCCATTTGCCATTTTTGACAAACTTAAGCTTGAGTAGAGGCTAATTTTGACAGATTTTCAAGGAAAGACATTTGGGGTGAGTGATTCCAACTCGGATTTGGTCTATATACACAAATATATCATTATTTTCACCATTTAATTAGTGTTTTGAGATTGAAATTTGCAAAAATTTAGAAATCTCATATAAACGAATTTTCGAGATTTCGGTATCGATTCGGAGTCGGATTTGAGTGAAACTAGTATGGTTGGACTCGTAATTGAATTGTCGGATTTCATAACTTTCGCCGGATTCCGAGACGTGGGCCCCAAAGACGAATTTTTTATTAATTTTGGGATTTTTATTCAAAAATATAGTATTTTCTTATAGAATTGATTCCTATAAATTTTTAGTGATTGTATCGAATTATTTTGGCTAGATTCGAGCCAGACAGAGTTGGATAATCGTGGAAAGGGCCTTATAGTGGATTAAATTGGAGCAAGACGAGGTAAGTCTCTTGTCTAATCTTGTGAGGGGGGAATTACCTCATAGGTGATTAAAATTAAATAATTGTTGCTAATTGTGGAGGCTACGTACGTACGAGGTGGCGAGAGTCCGTGTGTAGCTACTATTAATGCTAAATTCTGGGTAGTTTAGAACTCAAAGCATGAATTACTTGTGTAAATTGTATTCTTTGTTTAATTAATATTATTTGATATATATATATATNAGTCTCTTGTCTAATCTTGTGAGGGGGGAATTACCTCATAGGTGATTAAAATTAAATAATTGTTGCTAATTGTGGGGGCTACGTACGCACGAGGTGACGAGAGTCTGTGCGTAGTTACTATTAATGCTAAAGTTCGGGTAGTTTAGAACTCAAAGCATGAATTACTTGTGTAAATTATATTCTTTGTTTAATTAATATTATTTGATATATACATATATTGTGAATTGTTAGATAAAAATATTAAAGGATGAAAATCTCATATACGTGATTTTCTGTTTAAATTAATTAATTGTTAAGAGAAATTGTTCTTCCTCCCGAATTTATCTTATAATAAATATACTCTCCTTTCGAAGGTATATAATAAATATCCTCCTTTCTTGTGGAGCGGGCCGAACGCCTCGGCAGAATAAATGCATCTATGGATCGCGCCGCACGTCCCTCGGCAATGTACACGACACTCTGGATCGGGTTGTACGTCCTCGACAGAAATCGTGCTTAATAATAATAATTACACGATACTTTTATTTCAGCTTGCGAAGCTAATTGATAAATTGAAAAATTCTTGGAATTTAATGAATTATTATTCTTGCTTGTTAAAGAATTAATTTTTATTCATGTAAAGATTCAATGAACTTTGAAACTTTAACTTGCGCAAACGATGCCGAAACCTATCAAATCACATCCGATTGACCTCAAATTTTGCACACAAGTCACATTCAATATTACGGACCTGTTCCAACTTCTGGAATCAGAATCCGACCCCGATATCAAAAGGTCCACTCCCGGTCAAACTTTTCAAAATTTCAACTTTCGCCATTTCGAGCCAAATTCAACTACGGACCTCCAAATTACAATCCGGACGCGCTCCTAAGTCCGAAATCATCCAACAGAGCTAACGGAACCATTAAAATTACAATCCGAGATTAAATGCTAAAAAGTCAAACTTGGTCAACTCTTCCAATTTAAAGTTTCAACAATGAAATCCATTCTTCCAATTCGATTCCGAAATACCTGAAAACCAAAACCGACGATTTACACAAGTCAAAATACATCATACGGAGATACTCACACCCGTAAACTATCGAGCGAAGTGTAAACACTCAAAACGACCGATTGGATCGTTACACCACCAAAAGTGATTAATGGTCAATTTTTGGCTAAACTAGATAAATCAGAAATAGATTTAGAAATAGAAAAATGGAGAAGAGCACTGGTTATATATGTAATTTGGGAGACACCTGGATATAACTACATGAAGAGATACATGTCGCAGACTTGGAACAATATTGTTGAGCCAGAATTATACCTTCATGAAGACGGCTATTACATTGTTAAATTCCAAACCATTGATGATCTAAGGAAAATATTATATGGGGGACCATATAGTATTAACATCAGACCAATTGTGATAAAGCAGTGGACACCTGACTTTGATTTCAATGCTGAATTCCTAACTGAAGTGCCTCTATGGGTCAAGTTTTCAAAACTCCCTATGAGTTGCTAGGGCTGTAAAACACTAAGCAGAATGGCCAGTACCATTGGTACTCCACTGTTTGTTGATGCTTGTACAACAAATCAACATAGGATATCATATGCTAGAATCTTGATTGAGATAAATGTGACTAAAAACTTGCCTACAGAAGTGACTGTGATGGATCCATCCGGAAGGCAATTTCAGCAGGCAGTGGAATTTGAGTGAAAGCCGGAGTTTTGTACTGAATGCTTGAAAATTGGGAATGACTGTGCGAAGAGGAAAAAGGAGCAGGAAGGTCAACCACTGAAGAGAAGGAAGCCAACAAAAATAGTGCAAACATGGGTAGCAAAAAGGGTAATACAACAACAAAGTGCAGGAAGCCTAGGAATGTCTGACCAACAAGAAGTTGCAGGGATACTTTTGATAGATAAAGGTAAGGCAGCTGTAAGGGGAGCAGAAGGTGAGTGGTCACAACCAAAGAGTAAAGGCAATAGTCTAAGGCAGAGAACAGAATACCAAAAGGCTGAGGCAGAGAAAAATGAAAGGAATGAGGGCCATAAAGATGCAATGGCCAACTCAGAAGGAGTGTATGCAGTGTCAAAAAAGAATGGCTTCCAAGCTATTCTTATGCATGAGAAGTAAGTGGGTAATGCAATGCCTCCTGATACAAGAGGATGAGTAAACACCACTCAATGACTTGGTTGTTTTGAAATGTGAGGGGAATAAATAAGAGGTACAAACAGAAGAAAATTAAGAAGTACCTCATAGAAAATCACATAAAAATAGCAGGTCTTGTGGAAACAAAAGTCAAGGAGAATAATGCACAACATATTGTTGGGAAAATTGCATGTACATGGAGTTTGCTCAACAACTATGGTGATGCTAGTAATGGGAGAATTTGGATTATGTGGGATAGTAGAATCTACAATATCAAGAAATTGGCAAGCCAAGTACAATATATACAGTGTCATATCATAGGGAAGCACAATGGAGTGGATTTCTTAATAGCAGTTGTTTATGGCTTTAATACAATGGAGCAGAGAAAGACGTTATGGTCTCAGTTAAACTACCTGGCTTCAGGGATTAATAAGCCTTTGGTTAATATGTGGAGATTTCAATGCTATACATATCCTCAAGATAGACATTATGGAGTACCAGTGACACTGGCTGAAATTAAAGATTGCAGATTGCTATCACAATCTCTCAGTGAATGAACTTCCATGGAAGGAAAATTATTACACTTGGTCAAATAAGCAGTAAGAGAGTGATAGAATATATAGCAGACTAGACAGAGTAATGGCTAATGATGAATGGATGCTTCATTATGGGCACTTGAGAACAGAGTATGGGGAGCCATATATTTCTGATCATGCACCTATGCTTATCTAAATGAGAAGCACTATGAGAAACATAAAAGTCCCATTCAGGTTTTTAACATTTATGCAAACTGCATACAATTCAAACAGCTGGTGGAAGATGGATAGGCAAGGAACCAAACAAGAGAGAAAATGAAAAATGTTAGCTTAAAATGAAGCCTCTTAAAGTAGACCTTAAAAGATTGAATTCTGAGTTTAATGGGATAGCAGAGAAGATTAATCAAGCTAGAGAAGCACTAAAGGATATACAAGGGAGGATACAAAATCATTACTCAAATAGCTTAACTGATCAGGAGAAGGATTGCTTACAACAACTTGAAAAGTGGTATATGATTGAGGAAAGTGCACTGCAACAAAAATATAGAGCTAGCTGGATAAAGCTTGGGGACTCAAACAATAAATATTTCTCAACTGTGATGAAGGAAAAGTAACAGACCAAGCAAATTATGGAGATCAATTCTCTAGTAGGGACGAAGCTATTGAATATGGGAGACATAAAGAATGAAATTCTGGATTTCTATAAGTCTCTAATGGGGTCAGCTAATGCCTAGCTTCCAGCAGTAAACAGAATAGTTATGAAGTCTGGACCATGTTTGACACACAGAGCAAGTTGCATTATGTGCTGATGTAACAGATGAGGGGGTCTATGAAGGACTATGTTCGATAGGAGATGACAAAGCACTAGGAATAGATGGATTCAATGATGTGTTCTTCAAGAATTCATGGAATATAGTGAAACAAAAAGTATGTGACGCAATCAACGATTTCTTCATCATAGGGAAACTCTACAAGGCAATTAACTACACCACTCTCACTCTGATTCCAAATATACCTAATCCAACTACAATCAAATAATACATGCCCATAGCATGTTGCACTATACTATACAAACTAATATCAAAAGTGTTGGCTGCTAACTTACAGAAGGTGATGAGTTACATTATATCTGAGGCTCAGGTAGGGTTCATCCCAGGAAGGAGGATAGCATGCAATATAATTTTAGCTCATGACCTAGTTAAATCATATAATAGAAAACACATTTCACCATGTGCATGATAAAGGTTGATATACAAAAAGCGTATGACTTTGTAGAATGAGTGTATTTGCAACAAGTCATGGAAGGAGTGAGATTCCCTGAGAAGTTTATTGGATGGATAATGACTTGTGTCCAGACAGTTAACTACTCTATGCTTAATTGTGAATCTGTGGGACCTTTTAATGCAGGTAGAGGACTGAGGCTAGAGCATCTAGTATCCCCTTTTATCTTTGCTATTGCTATGGAATATTTGAGCAGGCTGCTTAATGGACTGAAGAAGGAGAAAGGGTATGAATTTCATCAGAAATATGGAAAGCTGGCATTACTCATCTGAGTTTTGCTGATGACCTGCTGTTATTTGCCAGAGGGGACAAAGAATCCATTCAAAAATCACAAGCATGCTTTACTACATTCTCAACAATATCAGGAATGAAGGCTAAAATGACTAAGAGTGCAGTGTATTATGGAGGCATCAGCACTAAGAAGAAAGATGAGATACTACAATTGTTAGGCTACAGTCAAGGAGAATTGCCATTTAAATACTTGGGAGTTCCACTTGACACAAAGAAGCTGACTGTAATAGGGAGAATAGTGTCCAAGATTACATCTTGGACTGCAAAAAAATTATCATATGCAGGAAGAATTCAACTGGTGCAATCAATAATCTTTGGCATGCAATCATACTGGTCCCAGATCTTCACATTGCTAGTTAAAGTCGCAAAGTTAATTGAAGCCTATTGCATAAGCTATATGTGGTAGAGGAGAAATGAGATTAATAAGAAAGCACTAATTGTCTGGGAGAAGATATGTCAACCTAACGTAGCAGAATGACTCAATTTACACAACCTGCAGGTGTGGAATAAAGCAGCAATCGCAAAGACATACTTGGATCTAAGCCAAAAGCAAGATAAGCTATGGATAAAATGAAAACATGCATACTACATCAAAGAGCAAAATGTAGATAGCATGACCATCCCACAAAGTGCAAGCTGGATGGTGAGGAAAATCCTAGGAGCCAGGAAGATAATTACATAGCTGAGCAGACCATTGAGTGAGCAAAAAAGGTTTGATCAAACAGATCTACTTACGAATGAGTCCATTTTATCCAAGGGTACAGTGGAGAAGGATGATGCACCACAACACTGTTAGACCAAAAGCCATTTTTACAATGTGGCTCCACAATAATGGAAGGATGCTAACCGCAGACAGACTGATAAAATAGGGACTCAATGTTAATCCCACATGTGTTTTCTGTCGAGCTGAGAATGAGACAAAGATCATCTCTTTGTAGAGTGTGGATATGTCAACCAAACTGTGGTGGATATTGTTCCTATGGCTACATATGCATCCTGCTGCAATTAATACTTGGGGGCAATTCATTTAGTGGTTCATAGAGCAAACAAAAGGAAAATCAAAGCATGCACACGTACTAAAAATGATATATGCTGAAACTACCTATGCATTGTGGAGGGAGAGAAACAACAGGATATTTGAAGTAACTTCGCGAGACTATGAAAGTTTAGCACGTGAGATTATATGTGTCTGCAACCTTAGAGCTGGAAGGAAGGTGAAAGGATGGGTACATCATCTTTATTACTAGACTTGTAAATAAAAACAGTAGCTTAGATAGTAAAGTTGTATAGGAATTAGTTTTTTTTTGTATACTGTCTTTAGTTGATATAGCTAAGCTGAGTTTAAGCATAGCTAATGCGCTATACTATTTTCACTAGTGATTAATGAAACTTTTAATTACCAAAAAAAAAGGGAATGAGTAAGCCTCCATCAAGATATTGAACTTTACATGGTTTATCATATTTGGCAATTATTGATTATCATTGCGTGAGTATTAATGTGTCGTAACTTTTTGAAAATTAGTAGTTTTAGAGATGTATTAGGTAGGACTGCGTGTCGCTTTAGAACTTGTAGTTGTTCTTCCAGCTGATTTCTTTCTAGCCTTCTTATGCTGGTAAGTAGGGGTGGCAAACGGGAAGGTCGTATCGGATATAGAACGGGTTAAAAATGGATAAATTATCCGACCCGACCTATGTTAAATACGAATAAAAAATAAATTAATCGGCGAATAATATGGATATTCATATTATCCATGGCTTCTTGGATATGATAACTTTTGAGAGAATTCCTAGTCTCCAAGTTTGAGAAACCCCCAATTCGAGGCTTTACAAATGTAAAGATTAAACTCATTAGTTATCTATTTGCTAAGTGGATAGTATGGTTCTTATCCATATTTGATATGTTTTTAAAAGGTTCATTATCCAACCCATTTTTAATGAATAATATGGGTGGATAAATGTTATCTTTTACCCATTTCTCCACCACTACTCGTAAGCGCTCTCTCTCTCTCTCTCTCTCTCTCTCTCTCTCTCTCTCTCTCTCTCTCTCTCTTGCATTAATAGTTTACAGTCGTCGAAGTTATGGTGTAATGACCCAATCGGTTGTTTTGAGCATTTGCACTTCGCTCGGTGGTTTGAGGGCATGAGTAGCTCTGTATTATGTATTATGATTTGTGTGCATCGTCGGTTTCGGTTTTTGGGTGATTCAGAATTAGTTTGGAAGAATGAATTTCATGTTTGAAGCTTTAAGTTGGAAGAGTTAACCAAGTTTGACTTTTGAGTATTTGACCTCGGACCAGAGTTTTGATGGTGTCGTTAGGTCCGGACGGTGATTTTGGACCTGGGCATATGCCCGGATTAGCATTTGGATATTTTTAGAAAGTTTTGATACTATTTGGCGAAAGCTGAAAATTTGAAGGTTTGAAATGTTCATAGGTTTGATCAGGAGTTTACTTTGATGATATCAGGTTTGTATTATGGTTCCGGGAATTGAAATAGATTCGTTATGTCATTTGAAACTTGTGTGCAAAATTTGAGGTCATTCCGAGTTGATTTGATATGGTTCGGCACGAGTTTTGGAAGTTGAAAGTTCAAAAGTTCATTAAGTTCGATTTGAGGTGCGACTCGTGGTTTTGATATTTTATGCGTGATTTGAGGCCTCGAGTAAGTCCTTTTTATGATATGTGACTTGTTGGTATGTTCGGATGGGGTCCCGAGGGGCTTGGGTGCGTTTCGAATAGATTTGGGTTGTGTTGCGCTCATTTTTTATGTTTCGACGTCATTTCTTCAAGCATAAATGGTACCACACTAATCAAATAAGCTCCAATTTCTGTTTTGATTGAAACATTAGATACGTATTGTAATTACGTAGCCATAGAAAAAAAATCGTCAAATTTGGATATCGTATAAGGGAGTTATGCTCATTTTAGTGTCGGAGAAGAGAGTTGGTGCTGGTGCTTCGCAGATGCGAAGTTGGGTCCGCATCTGCGACCCCGCAGGTGCGAAAAATGGTCTGCAAAAGCGAAAACGACAACTGGAAATGGGCAGGTGCGGAGTTTTTGTCGCAGAAGCGAAAATCCCTATGTATAAAAAATCAGACTGCGTTTTTTTGGTATTTTGAGCATATCTTGAGTTCTAGAGCTCCGATTGAGATGATTTTCGCGGCGTTTCTTCTCGTCTTTTCATGGGGGTCAGTATCTAACTACGTTTTGTATTTAATATGATCACATAAGTTTATTTTTGAATTAATTCATATTTTAATTGGAGAATTGGGGGTTTTTATCAAAAACTTTTCTAAAGTGAATAATTGAGTTTTGAATATTGATTCGGAGTCAGAATTGAATGAAATTAATATGGTTGGACTCGTAATTAAATGGGTTGTCAGATTTTGTGAGTTTTGTCAAGTTTTGAGGTGCGGGCAGGATTTAACTTTTTGGTTGACTTTGGATTTT